TGCACTGCAGGGTTTGCTGAATGTAATTATCAGAAACAGCACACCCAATGCTAGTGAAGGAGTTGTCCCCCACAAAATACTCTGCTGTGTAGAATATTCTGAACCTGATCATCAGAAATACTGAGCTAGGAATAGGTCTGTCCCCATATGGTATGCTGCTATCTACTGTACTCTGAATGTAATCATTATCAGAAGTGAGTCAGCACACCCAGTGTTAGTAAAAGAGGTTACAAAATGTACTTAACCATGCTTTGTTAGACCTAAATTCAGTATGTCTAAGGCACTTAACCATGTTTTGTTAAACCTAAATTCAATGTCTAAGGTATTTAACCATGTTTTGTTAAACCTAAATTCAGTATGTCTAAGGCACTTAACCATGTTTTGTTAAACCTAAATTCAGTATGTCTAAGGTACTTAACCATGCTTTGTTAAACCTAAATTCAATATGTCTAATTTCCTAAAGAAGTGGAATGAAACTAGTTCTATGTCCATCTGACCACCCAAACCTCAGTCCTGCAAGATAGAATATAGAAACAAAATAGTATTAAGTCCATTTACCAGGACTTTTATGGGAATGTAGGTCAATATGTGCTGGTAGCTCAAGAAATTGAGTCAGAATGTATGTCTCTGTGTCAAGAACTTCTAGTAGGACATATTAGTATTACTAAACAGGGTATGTGGAAGTGAGAAAAATGTATGAATCTAAAAATATGCAAAACTAAAAAGAAACTCGATATTAAGGCTAATGAAAGTGGTACTAATCCAATCTAGGTGGTTGGAGAGGGAAAAAAAGATACACTGTGTTACTAAGAAACATGGTCTAGAAGTAGCACTTACTAGTAATATGGGGAGGAAATAAAGCCACCCATTCTCTGTCACTTTCCTTTAGCACGTTCATCATCCTTTGATGGTCTTCAGTTAGAGAAACAAGTCGTGGAGGAACTTTTTCTCGTTCCCAAAACAGAAATGCTATTAACAATATGAAGATATTATTATTAGAAAGTAAAGTACATAAAGTGACAATAATGTTCAGTTATTAGTTTTGAAAATATATCAAATTATATATATCTAAATTACTCCCCTCAAAAACAACACGCACATCTTATGACTTTTCAGAAAACATTTCTTCTACGTAAACCACAATATTTCACTTAATGCAGTTGTTGCGTTTCTGCTTGTTTGTTAATTTCCCATAGAATTTCTTTCCGAGAAACTTCTGCGATACAAGTCCCTTATTAATTAAAACATGTTTATTCTTTCTCGTTACAACTTTGCAATACACAGAATTTCCACTGTCAATAGGTTTGCAATCTCGATAACAAAACACACACTTTATACTACCGTCACTACCGCTCGCTAGGCTCAATTATCTGTCTCTATATCTATCTGCAATTATACCTCTGCTTTATTTGCCCGGCTTATATACTAACAAAGAGGGTGCCTAGAACAGACTAGAGTTGCCAGAACAATTCAAGATCCTTCGAGAATCTCATGACGTGTTACCAGCTGTCGTAACTCAGTGAACCTTTCCTACTATACTGTAAAGCAACCAATAAATACCTTACCTTCTGTAATATTGCAACAAACAAGCAATACCTTATTATAGTGTAGAAAAAAAGAAACATTACCAACTATAGTATACAACAAAGAAGAGATACCTTGCCTACTGTAGTGTACAAGAAACAATATACCTCACCTACTATAGTGTACAACAAACAAGACAGCTTGCCTACTACAGTGTGCAAAAAATATCTTGCCTACTATGTTGTATAAACAAACAAGTTACCTTGCCTACTGTAGTGTACAAAAAACAAGGTCTCTTGCCTACTGTAGTGTACAAGAAACAACATTCCTTGCCAACTATAGTGTACAACAAACATAAGATACCTTGCCAACTATAGTGTACAACAAACATAAGATACCTTGTCAACTGTAGTGTTAAACAAACAAGAGACCCCTTACTTATTATAGTGAACAGGAAACAAGAGATACCTTGCCTATTGATAGTGACCAACAAACAGGAGATACCTTACCTATTACAGCATACAACAAACAAAAAGATACCTTGCCTATATAGTATACAACAAATAAGATACCATACCTACTGAACTCTAGATACCAAATAACACTAGGTATAAGAAACCACAGGTAAGAAGGTATACAATATAGGACTAGAGATACCCAATATCTAGTAAATAACACCAGATATGAGAAACCACAGGTAACAAGGTATACAATATAAGACTAGAGATACTCAATATCTAGTAAATAACACTAGGTATAAAAAAACACAGGTAACAAGGTATACAATATAGGACTAGAGATACCCAATATATAGTAAATAACACTATGTATAAGAAACCACAGCTAACAAGGTATACAATATAGGATTAGAGATACTCAATATCTAGTAAATAACACTAGATATAAGAAACCACAGGTAACAAGGTATACAATATAGGACTAGAGATACCCAATATATAGTAAATAACACTATGTATAAGAAACCACAGGTAACAAGGTATACAATATAGAACTAGAGATACTCAATATCTAGTAAATAACACTAGGTATAAGAAACCACAGGTAACAAGGTATACAATATAGGACTAGAGATACTCAATATCTAGTAAATAACACTAGATATAAGAAACCACAGGTAACAAGGTATACAATATAGGACTAGAGATACTCAATATCTAGTAAATAACACTAGGTATAAGAAACTACAGCTAACAAGGTATACAATATAGGACTAGAGATACGCAATATATACAGTAAATAACACCAGATATAAGAAACCACAGGTAACAAGGTATACAATATAGGACTAGAGAT